AGGAGAGAGGTAGAAAAAGAGTGACCAGAGGGTCGAGAGGGGCGAGTCGGAGGCTCCCCCATCTCTTCCCCCGGCAAGCGGCCATGGACTTCGGAAGAGACAAATCTCCTCGGTGCTTTACTTGCCACTTCTCCCGATGGCAAGTTACCCCGAGGAATCATGTCTTCCTATACTTTGTATGTGCACAAATGGTTGGTTATATATTCCGACAGGTGTCCTCCACAAGTGCCTGAAAACAGAAAGTTTCTTCTGAAGGCCATGATCAAGTACCCCGTGAGGAGGCGTCATGAGAGAGGCTAGCCTATTCTCCGGATGTATGGCTTTGTGTTGTATGTGTTTTTTCTTGTATTGATTTGTTTAGCATCGACCGCGCTATCCCGCCGACCAATGAAAAGATGTCAGTCTTACGACGGGCAAAGAGAAATGCTCTTTCGAGTCAACGGGCTCCCCCGGCAGCCTCCCCCCTCCTCCCCCCCCCGGAAGAAATTGGACTGCAGGGCCCGGTGGTCTCCAGGTTCAGAATACTTGCAGATGTAAAAATGACATAGTGCCATCATCACGTAGCGTTCCTGCCTCAGTATCTACTCCTCTTTTTCTCGACTTCTCCCCCCTTTTCCCCTCTCTTCCTCTCCTTCTGTCTGACCTCATCCCCCTATTCGCCCCTGCTTTGTCTGTCCTTTGTTTGGTACACGTGGTGGCTGCTGACCGCTATGGCTTTCCTTTGATTGCTACACGTGGTGGCTGCTGACCGCTATGGCTTTCTGCCGCATGCACAAACACCACCTCCCTTGAACTACAACGACGACGACGACACCACGAAATTAAAAAAGCCGGCGCTTCTCGCGTGCGTGGGCGCGGTTATCGCCGCCGTGCTCGGCGTCCGCCTGTCGGGCGTGTTCAGCGCGCGGATGCCCACGGACCTGTCCCCCATCCCCGTCCCCTTCAAGGTCGCCGTGGGAAAGCACAAGGGATCCAGCACGCACCACATCCGGCTGCAAGGTTAGTAAGCGCTACATATCTCTCGCCCTCTCTCCCTCACTATCTCGCTCCCCCCCCCCCCCCCCCCCCCCCCCCCCCCCCCCCCCCCCCCCCCCCCCCCCCCCCCCCCCCCCCCCCCCCC